AATCTGTTACCTTTAACCATGTGAATTAAATAAAAATTGAGGACCAACCGAAATATGTTTATAGCAAATAAACTCTTCAGTAAAGCAACTTTACCCTTCAAGATGGGGACTTAGAAGGAGTTGGGAGGAGAGGGATTGATAGGTAGAAGCATAGAGGAAGGTTAGAAATGAGGCCAGAGGACACAGGAAGATCATGCAACTCTAGAAAACTGTTGAAGACAAGAGGGAAAGACAGAATGAAAGAACAAAGACAAGAATAGAACAACGTACAGCAATAGGGAAGCTAGAAACTGTACTTACTTTCCTTTGAAACTAATGACAATCAAGAGAAAGAAAAGAAGAAGAAAGAATACATTCGAATTAGGGCAGGAACAGGAACAAAAAGGGAGATGAAGAACAATGTGGGAGAGAGGTTTAGTGGGAAAGAAAGAAGAATTTGAAAGGATTGGGGAAAAATGAAAATTAAAAATTAAAAATATGAGGAAAAGAAAAAAATAATATTTAAAAATAAAAATGAAGCGCCTCCTTCAAGGTATGTCACTGCTGTCACAATAGACAGTGTGGGCAGCAATGTGCAGATCTAAGTCAATTAGTCTCAGTGAGCCAGCAGCAGACCCCTGAGATTCAGGCTGAATTCTGGCTGCAAGGCCCTGGTTGAGCTCCCTGACCTCCTGCAGGCTTGAACTCTGCAAGGTTCTACTGCAAGTTCCAGCTTCCCTTCCCCTAAGGATAGTCTGATGGGAGGTGGTGATCCCTTCAGTTTACCAACCCAGTGGTCTGGTGTGCCTTTATTGTAGAGATTTTCCTTTTCCAATGGGCTTCAGTTTTCATCAAGGAGCCTGAGAGAGGCCCTCTTTCTGTTGTTCACTTCTGCTCTACTGGAGCTCAGTACCATGGCCTTTATAATACCCTGTGCCTGTGTGGTATGGATCCAGGTACCAGAGGGGCCAGGAGGTGGGGGTGGGGGTGGGGTGGCGCTGGGGTGGTGCTGCCACCTTCGGGGCTCCACTCCTCACTGGTCTCTGCTGCTTGAAGGCCTGGGCTGGTGGGGGTGGGGAAGTGGCCTAGCTCCACGTGGTTCCGGTACTCCTCACCGGTCCATACTTGATCTGTAAACTTTGCTTGGATCTTTACTTTGTGTAATTCTTTGACATTTTTCTTACCATACTATTGCTTTACATTTTAAAGTAATGGAATTTTATTGTAGACTTGTAATTAAAAGGAACACCATATTTACCTCCATCTAAATTAGTTTCTGATGAGACTAATCGGTATTTCCTGAGACTGATTTTTGAGTATATTTTAACTCATTCCTTTTGTTTTAAGTATAGCGATGTTGCTAAAAATAAAAGTTTCTTAAGAGATTTTGTACTTTAATGGACAAAAGACTTAGATATTGAATTCAGCCTGGTTTATAATTTTGGCTCTACATTTTATTAATTTTAGAACCTTAGGTAAAAAGCTTACATTAATTTTCAAAGGCAGTTAATATAGCATTTGGTACAGCATATATGTTTATGTGTGTGTGTGTGTGTGTGTGTGTGTATGTATATTGAGACCACCAAAATATGTATACATCAGGAAAAGAAAACCTGTTGTATAAATATTTTAATACTAAATTTGACATCATGAGGTTGACACAAGTTACCTTCGGCCTCTACAAGATGTGCCCAAATGTGGTAACCGTTAGCTTCCAGATATTTGTTTGTGTGGCAGACTGCTGAAGTGTGTATACTTTTTTTGTTTGTTTGTTTTTGCTTTTTTAAACAGGGTCTTACCATGTAGTTCAGGCAGACTTTGAACTCACTATGTAGCCCTGGCTGGCATCAAACTTGCAGTGATCCTCTAGCGCAGCCTCCTGAGTGTTGGATCACAGGTGTGCACCACCACACTGACTCATCCCATTTTAAAGTCTCTGTGGAGCCAGACGTGGTGAATTTATAATCCCAGCACTTGGGAGACTAAGGCAGGATGATCACAGTGAGTTCAAGGCCAGCCTGAATTACATATGGAGACCCTGTTTCAAAAAAAAGAAAACTCTTGAGCTGGGCGTGGTGGCGCATGCCTGTAATCCCAGCACTCGAGAGGCTGAGGCAGGAGGATTGCTGTGAGTTTGAGACCAGCCTGGGCTACATAGTGAGTTCCAGGTGAGTCTCAACTACATAGTGAGACTCTGTCTCAAAGAAAAGAAAAGAAAGAAAAGAGAAGAGAAGAAAAAGGGAAGAAGGGGAGGAAGGAGAGAAAGAGAAAGGAAGGAAGGAAGAAAGAAAGAGAAAGAAAGAAAGAAAGGAAGGAAGGAAGAAAGGAATAGAGAGAGAAAACAAACCCAGGCATGGTAGCACAGGCCTGTAATCCCACCACTTGGGTCCTGAGTCTGGAGGATTGCCCCAAGTTCGAGACCAGCCTGGGACTAGTGAGTTATGGGCAAAGGCTAAACTACATAGCAAGACCGTCTCAATCAATCATCCAGTAACAATGACAACAAAAAATAAAGTCTATGGGTAGAGAAACTTTGGTAGTAAAAAGGGATAATTTGGTCAGTTACATAGGACAGGATGTCAACTGAAACATATTGTGTATATGTGTGAATTTTTATATACACTTTTTGTTTTTGTTTGTCTTGGTACCAGGGATTGAACTCAGGACCTTCTGCTTGGTGAGGCATGTGATAGCACCACTGAGCTAAATCCCTGGCCCTATATATGGTTTTGATAATTGATTGACATAGAAGCTAAGTTTGTTATAGTTTGATCTTTTCCTTTTTACAGTACCTTGATGTTTTAAGTTACTGGTCTACATGAGAGAAATAAGAATTGGATATGAAGAGAATGCTGATAATTTTTTTTTTTGGTACCGGGGATCGAATGATAATATTTTAAATGAATAAGATGTAGGTAATTGTTCAGATAGGTGATGTGTGTTTTTTTGGGTTTTTTTGTTTTGTTTTGTTTTGTTTTGTTTTTTGGTGGTATGTTTTTAATGTGGTCAGGGTATATAGTGATTAGAGTTTGAGTTCTGAAGTTAGTCTATCTAGGCTTAAATTCCAATGTTTGTACATAATAGCTAGGCAACTAGTAAGACACCTAACCTTTCTGAGTCCTTTTCTTCATGTCTAAGTAGGGTTGATAATAGTGCCTGCTTCACAGGGCTTAATTAATGGTTAATTGAGATATAGTGTGTAAAATGTCTAGCAGAACATCCAGTGCCTGAAGTATTTTCTAATGCTGTTGCCGGTTGAGTATCCTGACACTATATCTAGTCATAGCTACAAAAATCCAGATAGACACCCAAAGTTCACTAGTTCTTGGAGTTCTTGAAGTGACCTTCCAGGTATGTTAAGCAAAAGAAAACTGGAGGTACTTCTCTCTGTTTTAGTTACATAAGCATATACAGAGTGAATAGTATAATAGGATTTTCACTGAATTTAGAGGCAAGTTAGCTTATGAGCCATTGAAAATGAATTTAGAATGGCACATAAATTCTGTTAACTTTCCTCTCTGGTCACTTATTTCCCCATTATTATTTTTTAAAATGTAAATGTGTTTTTAAAAACAAAACAAAAATCATTTGAGAAAATAGAAATAAAATAGGATAATTTAGAAATAGCATCCCCCCATCCCTGGACTATACAGTGGTGTTTGAAACTTAAAAGAGTGTCAGCCTTAAAATACATGTCATTGCTTGATTAGATGACACAGAACTCAGATTTGAAATAACTGGAAGTTGCCAAGCATGGTGGCACATGCCTGTAATCCCAGCACTTGGGGAGGCTGAAGCAGGAGGATCACTGTGAGTTAAAAGCTGGCCTAGCCTCCAAACTGAGTTCTAGGCCAGCCTGAACTGCATAGGGAGACCCTGTCTCAAAAAAAAAAAAAAAAGAGGAAATGTTACTATGTAGAAGTCATAGAAATAGACAGCAAAATGGTGGTTACCAGGTGCTGTGGGGGGAGGGGAGGACAAAGAAAGGAGAGATGTTACTCCAAGGGTGCAAAGTTTTAGTTACATAGAAGGAATAAGATCTAGTCCTCCATTGCACAGCATGGTGACTAGTCAAAATTGCTAAAACAATATATTTCAAGTGCTCTTACCACAAAGAAGTGAAAAGTATGTGAAGTCTGGATATGTTTATTAGCTTGATTTGATTATGTACTAACGTGTACATTATGTTAGTATCAGATTAAAATAAATCAATCTCAGCCTTTTGGCTAAGGTCAAGTGTAAAACAAATAAAATCATACCTTTTAGTATAATATGTTTGAAAAATACTAGGAGTGGTCTATCTTTTTTTTTTTTACTCTTATAACACTGGAGTTCAAACTCGGGCACTGTACCGCTGAGTACCTACACCCTCAGTCCCTGTTTAAATTTTATTTGGAGACAGGGTCTTGTTAAATTGGCCACGTTGGCATTGAACTCATGATCTTCTGGCCTTAACCTCATGAGTAACTGGGATGGTTTATCTTTTTATAGTAAATATTTCAGATTTGAGGAAAGGATGTATTTGGAATTACTGTTTAAATATTATTTCAAATTTGACTATTTTTAGAATTAAGCTATATGTATGACTATTAGAGTAAAATATAGATCATTCAGGAGTATAGATCATAAAGTCTTATAATTAAAACATATAGCCTATTTGTTTTTAGTAATAATAACTTATTAGGTGGTTACTGTGGACTAGGTATTTTACTAAGTGTTTAAGCTGTATTATTAATTCTGTTAATATACTCATACATATGATGTTATAAAATTGCATTTTATTTACAGCTGTTTTAAATTATAACTTCTGTTCCTTGTATTATACTATCAGTGTCTTCATTATAAGGATACTGTACTTAAATATATGGGATAACTAATTGCAAAATTTCTCTGCTTGGGGATGTTTTACACACACACACACACACACACACACACACACGCACACACACTGCATTTCCTTTTTCCAGAATTTATGAATCTTGGGTATTACAATTGATTGATGATTGTTTTCTTTGTTGCAGACCTACAAGAGTAAATGGGTCCAGTAATTGGAATGACTCCAGATAAGAGAGCTGAAACGCCAGGAGCTGAAAAGATTGCAGGACTAAGCCAGATTTACAAAATGGGAAGCTTACCTGAAGCTGTCGATGCTGCCCGGCCAAAGGCCACTCTTGTGGGCAGTGAGTCAACAGATGATGAATTGACAAACTTGAACTGGCTTCATGAAAGTACTAATCTCCTCACAAACTTCAGCTTTGGCAGTGAGGATCTTCCAGGGGTTAGCCCACTCTATGATATAGAAGGAGATGGTGTGCCATCCTGTGGACCATCCTGTTACCAGAATCCAGAAAAAAAATCAACCACCTCAAAGCCCCCGTACTCCTTTAGTCTTCTCATTTATATGGCTATTGAACACTCTCCAAATAAATGTTTGCCTGTCAAAGAAATTTATAGCTGGATTCTGGACCGTTTCCCGTATTTTGCTACTGCACCAACAGGGTGGAAGAATTCTGTTCGACATAATCTATCCCTGAATAAATGTTTTCAGAAAGTGGAAAGAAGCCACGGCAAGGTCAGTGTTAATGAACATTGCTATATGTAGGGGAGCTAACATGGAATCCTTAAAATGTGGACACATCAAAGAAGACAAAGTCAAGTCAGATTACTTTGAGATTAACATATTAGCTCATCATTCCGTTTTATTTGAGGTATTTTAAAATTCTTATGTATTGATAGAAATCTAGCAGAATTATGTTCAGTGTATTGTAGTTACCTAGATTATGCTTTTTTGGTGTCCCAATATTTTTAGATTTTTAGTTTTTCTGTAATTCCTGTTTATTCTGTGTGACATCTGCCTTATAAAGTATAGACTGTTTATATTGATGTAAATGATATGGTTGGGTTTAAATCTAAGTTTACTTTGAAAAAAACAGATTTTCCATGGTAGGAGCAGCAGTATACTCTGCATGCAGGGAGTTCCCACATTCTCTGTGGGGGAGGACACAGGAGAACAGTGTGGACAGATGGAGTGCATATGAAGGAGGGGTGAATATTATGCATTGTTTACATTTTAGTTTTGAGGTCAATTCAGAAAACAATTTAAGACAAAGATATGTTGAGGTTTTCCATTATTGCCTTTATTTCCACTTGTGACAGTGGGAATGGTCTAGCAGTAATGTCTTATGCAACATAAATTTCTTGCCAAAGGAAAAGTTAAGTAACTGCAAATGAAGTTAGGTCAGTGAAGATACGGGATTTGAACAGTTGGTAATTTGAACAGTTGATCGACCTGCCTCATGTCTATATCCCCATTGACTTCTATCATCTTGCTCAACCTAAAACTACATCATGGGATAAGATCAGATTTAGAAATTCATCTTCTACTTGATTTGTATTATTTTGCACTTTATTCTTGCTTGCCTAGACTCTATCTTTTTCTTCTACGTTAACCGTTTAAACTTTAGTGTTCACTACTTTGCTGTTTTTGTTGTTTCAGTGTTTTCTTGGGTAATCATGTCCATTCCCATGGCCTTATATACTATCTGGATTCTAGAAACTCCCAGATCTTTCTTAAAGGCCAAACCTAAACTTGGAGCTAATTGTTAGACGTAGAGGTTTCTCAAATTCAGTTTATACAAAATTGAATCTTATTTTCCTCTCTTATCTCCTAGGGCAGTTGTGTCAAACCGATGACACACATGCTGTATCTAGCTGTTTGCTTTCATTGAAAGCTCTAAAAAGTTCACCATCACTGTCCTACGGTCTATCTGGATTTTAAGCTAGAAATCTGAGTCATCATAGATACCTGCCTTTTATAGTACTTAATTATTTAAATGTTAAATTTGAGGGGAATTTAGAGATTATCCTGATGAATTTTCTTATTTCATAGTTGGGGAAATAAGACTCCAGATAGGTAATGTTAGTTGACTATGGTCTGAAAAGCCAAATTTAGAGTTTAGAAAAGGACAGTATCTGGTAGCACCCGTACATACCTAAGAACTATTATTTGATCCTAGCCATTTCCTTCAGTTTCTGCTGTAATATTGGCCTAGTTCATGTCTTTCTCATTTCTCATCAGATTGAATTATAATATAAATATATATAGATTGAGGAGTCAGGCTTTGCATAGAGGCACACACCTGTAAGTCTAGCACTCTGGGAGGCTCAGGTAGGAGGATGGTAAGCTTGAGCCCTGTCTGAGTAACTTAGCAACTCTTAGTGAGATCCTGTCTCAGAATTAAAAACTTTTAAAAGGGGGCTAGGAATGTAGTTTAGTGCAGTGGCCCTGAATTCAGTCCCTAGTAGGCAGGAAGGTAAGTAGGTAGGTTGGGGTGGATGGGTGGATGGATTGGTAAGAGTCAGTATGGAGTATTGGAATCAGATGTTCCTAGACTCAGATGTGTGGCTTGAAATTAGTCTATTTTACTTCAGTTTTGTGACTAGTGAACTTAATGATATAATAAATTATATAAATATTAAATAAAAGCTAGACTTTTTGGTATAGTTGTCAAGGCTTCCCAGAGTTTGACCTCTTTGCAGCTCTTCATTATTCCATGACCTACCCCTTCATTAGGCTACTAGCTATTCCATTTTACTACAGAGTCATTGCTTATTTTGTTTCATCTGTCTGATTCTCTGTGGAGTTCCCTGTTCCTCAGAGCCCAGCTACCTATCAAGCACTTCCTTCATTTGCACATCTATTTTGTATGTGTATAACATTTTATGCAGTACATACCAGTTATGTACAAGTTTATATCTTCCACCAGGGCAGGTGTGAACTGTGTTACAAGCTAATGTGGTTACAATGGAATTGAAAACTCAGGCATCCCCATGAATTTATAGCCACAAGCTTTAATTAGAGAGGAAGAGAAAATGGAGAAGGGGCTTGACAGCTTTCAGAGATAAGGGTGGCCTTATAACAAAGGGAAGTAAAAGAAAAATGGAGAAGGACTTCAGTTGAGGAAGTGAAAGGGGCATAGTTTTGAGAGATAAGACTGGCCTGTTAACAAATGGAAGGGGTCCCTTTTTAAAGGGTTACTGAGTTTTTAAAGGGCCAGGATCTGGTTATTATTATCTCAGTTCTGGTTGAGAAGTCTGTGACTTGAGGGGGCAATCTAGTTTCCATAAGATGATTTTTTTTTGGTGGGGGACACAGTGGTGGTGGTGTTGGGGTGTCTCCCTGTTGTGGAGGTTCTGCTGGAATCCTAGGCAACTGCAGAATTATGGCAATGACTGGACACTTGGAGGCCCCCCTTTCGGGCCATAAAAGATAGATGAATATCCCTGCAGATCTTTTTATCTTGGTACCTTCAGTCTTGTGGTTAACATGCCTAAATGTGGAGCCGAGCAGGGATCTAACCTAGAGTTTTAAGATAATAAAGGAGACATTCAAAATAATTTTTAGTTACCCATTAGGCATCTGTAGGCCCAAGTGAATGGTTGCAGTTTTTAAGCAAAAGCAGCTAAGTCCCTGTTTCAGAAGAAAACATAAATTATGTTTCTAATTTGTAACAGGGTAAGGGCTTGTTAGTTTGTCCTCTGTCTTTCTGTGATCATCCCCAATAGTTTTATTTTCTCATGTAGTTTATTTTTGGAGACATTTTGGCAAAGCTTTAGTGAGGGTAGAGAGTGGAGGGTGATGTAGGAATAATAAATACCACTGTTTTAATGAGCAACCAGTCCTGAGTGAGGGCCCAGAGATACATCTACTTTTTGTTCCCTTTGGTAGTCCCAGACCCACATGGCGAAAGAATTTATTGCAGTAGTCATGGAGTTATCTTGCTAGTCATCCCCCAGCACTGTGATGTGATAATAGGTGGGTATGAAGATTCCTCACACTCTGAGCATAGCTGAATGTTCCAAGGTAGGCAGAGACAGTTGGGTCTCTTATCCCCTTAGATTGAGACCACAACCTTCTCCAAAACTCAACTTTTTTTTTCATTTTAATGCATAATTTTATTTGTTTATTTAATAGTAACCTATGAATGGACATTCAGGTTTCTAATTTTTTTGTTTTAAACACTGCTTCAGTGAAAGTAGTACATAGTTTTTTGTTTGCCTAATTTCTTCCTCAGGCTAAATTTCTAGTCATATTGTTGCAGTAGAGACTGGGTGTGGTAGTACACACCTATAATCCCAGCATTTGGGAGGCTGTGGCAGAAGATCAGCATGGGCTGCATAGTGAGTTCCAGTGTAGTCTGAACTACAGTTTGTAAAGGTTTCAGTCCATAATCGGCTGGCTCCCAAGGCAGGGTAGCATGGCAGACAGGCAGCACTGAAGAGAAACAGTTCATGGTAGGCAAAAGCAGTAAGGGGGACAACCGTAACTCTTTCTATCTTATCCATGCAATTTAGGGCAGGTAGCATTCACACTCTTAATCCCAGCGCCCCTTCTCAGCATCACACTCTCTAAATCCAGCCACCTCTGAAAAAGCCCCACATATGATTGCATGAGGCTTTAGGGGAACATCTAGATACAAACTATAACACCACTCTTTAACTTTCTTCTCTTTTTTCTCCCTTCCTCTCCAGGAGGGCTGAGCTACATCCCCAACCCTTTTTATTTTTTTACTTTGATTAGACTGACCTGGAACTTGGAGTCCTCCTGCCTTAGCTTCCCAAAGGCTTGAATTACAGATGTGCATCACTATGCCTGGCTATAATTATATTTCTTTGTTTATTCAAATTAGACGTTTTCTGTTGGCCGCTAGTTCTTTTATCATATAAATTAAGACATCATGTCTAGTCTATATTTGTTAAGTAAGTTGCTAAGTAATGGTAACTGCTACATTATAGAGTATATAACATACCAGAAATCTATGTCCTCAACTATTTTACTGTACTCTTCTGCCTTAGCTTACCTTACTACTGATAATAGCAAAGACTTGGTTTCTATGTACTGTCTACCCTTCTAAGTATTTTATATTTATTAACTCAATACAAATAATAACTCTGAGATAAGTGCCAGTGAGGGCATTAAGATAGTGAAGAATCGTGTACTTTGCCCAAGTTCACACACTAATAGGTACAGAAGTTGGAATTTGAACCCAGGTAGTCTGGTACCAGAGTCTGTCTTCTTGACTGTTACACAGTCGAAATATAGCATAGAGGATCAACAGAGAAAAGCTGTTTTTTAAAAAACAAAATTGATAAAGAATAACAGTAAAAGGCATAGATAAATAATATTAGGAATACTAAAGGTTAGATACTACAAAGAGGATATTATGAAGACGTTTATGATGATATTTGAAAATTTTGATGCAGGTATCAAATGAAGAAAGAAAAATAATACCTAGGAACATAGAACTTTGTAAAACTAAAAGCAGAAAATATAAATAATCTATAATAATAAAATTAATCAAATCAGTAGTAAAACAAATAAAACTCTCCCTCTTCCCTCAAAGGAAACAAAAAAGCCACATGATTTTGTACCTGAATTTTGCCCAGTAAGGACAGAACACACAGTTCTACTTTTTTTTTTTTTTTCTTTTTTGGTGGGGCTGTGGGTGGGACTGGGGATTGAATTTAGGGCCTTTGCACTGAGTTATAGCATAGGCTTTTGTTTCCCGAAAC